CCCCAGTACTCCCCAGCACATCCCAGCACATCCCAGCACATCCCCCTGCAGCCCGGGGCTGCTGTCCCAGGGTGGCCCCAGCCATGAATGCAGGCTCAGAGCTTCCTTCAGCTCGTCCAGGCTGACCTAGCAGGTGATGTGCTCGTTTCTGTGGCTGCTGTCATAAAACTTGTGGTTTGTAATCTCCTAGGACAGAAGAGGTTTGTGCAGAACATCATACAATGGGACAGAAGATAAGGCTCATCACAAAGTGAAAATTTTAGTTGGAGCATTTTATCAAGATTGTTTCATTTTGTTTCCATTATATACTTTATATACAAAGGAAAATAAAGAAATAAAACTGTTGACTGCTTGGAGATTGTGTTTGATTTTCCTGGCTAACTCTCATTTCAAAGACCTTCAGAAATAATTACACAGCTTGTTTAGAAAGATTTGATATATAATTTCTATTCTTATCTTACTTCACTTGAGAATTCCTGAAGACTTTCTATAGATATTTATTTCAAGATTCCCAGACTTGAATGAATATGCTGAATCTTTGATAAGCACATTCTTTATCCTAAGTGTTCATTAGACACTAAAGCTGAATACACCCTAATAAAAAGAGTTAATCAGTGTCTAACACTGCTTCCAATCTTGATGTTCAGCTACCAAGTTTTTCGTCTTGTGATATAAAATAACTCGTGATATAAAATAACTCAATCACTTATTGAGACCCCATGTTCAACTGAAGTTTATTAATGTATTAAAATACATGGGTAATATATGTGCCAGTATTTCCAGTTAAAATATACATAAGGCAAGGGGAAAGGCACAGTCTTCTTTTTCTTTCCCTTATAGGACACTTGAAGTGTGATTATAATCTCACCTAATAATATTAATGAAGGGAATGGACAACTGAAAAACTCTTCTGCCTCCTAGAAATCAATTTCTTCCCCAGCCAGGTTCTGCCATGCAGCACTTCATTTCCGACCATCACACACACTTCTGGGGTCTGTCAAATCCAGTCAATTGCTCCCAACAATCTTACTGATGAAAATTGTTTAGGGAAGATGTGAGTGATCATGAAACAGAAATTAAAGAAATTGCTTCCACTACTGAAATTAGTTAAGCTTTGGCATAGTTTAAATTTTATCACCTTTAATTTGAATTTTTTTTTCTTTATGCCTTGAATCAAATTTTCTGCAGGTGTGAAACATGCTACATTATGTTGTTCACACTGGCAATAATCAGTATATTTAGGAGCAAACCCTGTCCCCTCTGCAGCTGCAGGTGATGTTGCTAAGTCAGGGCTGCTCTGGTTCCCCTGCAATGTGCTGAGAGCTCACAAGGAGCAACCACTGCCATTCCCACAGGGAATGGAACCGGGCACCAAAAGATTTGGAGAACTGAGAGATTCCTAATGGTGAAAAACAATCCAGAAAAACAGGAACTCAGTCACCATGGCTGTTTTTAGCCAACCTCCACAGCAGAAATCTCCAAGCCTTGGATTATCAATATTTAAGTGAGATTTTACTCCATTACTGACACTGCAGTGATAAACTACATCTACATAAAAATTTTTCCAAGCATAATGCGCTCGAAGTTTTAAAGATAAAAATTTTGCAATGAAAAAGCTGCGAGAATGCAGGGAAGAGCATCTTTTAAGTAAATGCTCTTGGAAAAACAAACATTAAGGTTTCTGTTTAATTTTGACTGCATTTGGCTTGTGTTTGTTTCTTTGTCAATGCTACAACAAACTAATTTAGCCAGAGACTATAAATTTGAAATGGTGCCATTTTTATAAGAAAGCCACCATTGTAGTCCAAGTCACTGTTGTCCTAATTACAATAATATTGCTGTTATATGTAATCTGGCCCAACAACATAATCACTGTTTGTTTTTTCTTTATGTACCTAAAGTTACCTTGTGTAACCAAACCCACTTTTTTCTGAGAGATGAGGCAAATTATAAGATGCTCTGTTAAAAAACTTTGTGTGTTTTTTCCTCAGGTACACTTTTGCAATGCTAATGACCCTTAAACATGGATTTAACTACTATAAATATAGACTTCACAGAGATTCAACAGATTTTAATTAATGAACACTTC